CTGCTCCTCCCTGCTCCGCGCTCCGCCGGCCTCCGTCGCCCCGCGCCTGCGCTGTGCCGCCCTGCGTCGGCCGACCTCATCGCGCCGCGCCTGCCCTGCGCCTCGCAGGTGATGCCTCGCTCCAACTCCTCGGCGCCGAGGTCGGGCAAGCTTCCGGGCGTGCCGCTGCACAAGAGCCCGACTGCGCCCGCCACCCTCGAGGACGTCGGCACGCAGGCGTGATGGCGGATGCGGACGTGTGCGCAGTGCGAACCCTTTATTCCACAGCGCGTCGCGAGCAGTACAGGTTCGTACATTAGGGGATCTAGAGGGTGGCGTCAGTGTTCAGGCAGGCAGGGGCCCCAGCGTCGTGGTCACCTTAGCCGATGACGACGCGTCGGACAGTCCGCCACGATACACAGAGGGACACGGTGTAGTGCCTGTGTGAATAGTTGTAAATGCCAACTACCCCGATCAGAGAATTTCTCCATTATCGACTGAAGTTTCTCGGATCTCCATAGATTCTCGGCGATCTCGGTTCTCTCGCGCGACTGAAATTTCAAATATCTAGATGTATCAAAAACGATATACGATAATCGTTACTTTTGGTCAAGTCTCAAGAGACGCGCGAGAGCGCGAGACACAATCGCAGTGCGTAGAGTCAAAAACATGCCGTCGCGCTGGCCGCTCTGGCTCTGCGCTCTGGCGTCTGGGGCTCTGGCTGCGTGCCGCAACGGTCTCAGATATGTCGATGTGAAGCAGCGCCCCGTCCCTCACTTCTTCGCGCCTGCGACGCCCGCCCTGTGCGTGTGCCAGAGGTAGACCGTCCGCTGCAGCGCCTCGTGCAGCGTGTACAGCGGCTCGTACCCGAGGCGCTCCTTCGCCTTCGCCGACGAGAAGGCGTACGTGAGCGAGGCGACCGCAAACATCGCCGGCGTGAGGAGCGCGAGATCGCCCGTGACGCGGCCGCGCGTGGCGCGCTGCACCAGCTCCACCGCGTACCCCAGCGCCATCATCAGCCTGCGAGGCAGGTACGTCTGCTTGAAGGCGCCGCCCGTCTGCCGCTCGTAGTAGTGCCCGACCGCGTCGTGGAAATCGGCCGCCCGCAGCGGCTCGCCGTTGGTGATGCAGAACGCCTCGCCGCCGACGCGCCGCTGCGGCGGCGGCTTGGCGCGCTCGGCGTGCAGGGCCGCCTCGGCGAGCAGGTGGGCGTAGGCGACGTTCTCGTTGTAGACGTAGTCGATCAGAGGCTCCGGCAGCATGATCTGCACCTGTGACACGAGATCTGGGGAGATATGGGGAGATATGGGGAGATATGGGGAGAGATGGGGATGATCTGCACCTGGCCCAGCTCGAGCCACTTCTCCGTCATGAAGTTGTCCTGCAGCCCGAAGATCCCAGAGCACGGCCGCACGGCGACAGTCTGAAGCGCGCCGCGCGCCGCGGGCTCGAGAGGCGCCCCGTTGGCGGCGAGCACCATCGTCTCCGCCTGCGCCTTGGTCCAGCCGTAGTGGTTTGGCGAGTTCTGCGGGCCCACCAGCTCCGAACTCTCGTCCATCGAGGTGCTCACGAGCGCGGGCGCAACGCAGACGTTCGATGTCGACGTCTGCACCAGCACCTGCACGCCGCACTCGGCGCAGGCGCGAAGCACGTTCCCCGTCCCGGTGACGTTCACGGCGTGACTCGCGGCGTACTGGTACTGGAGCCGCTCGTAGTAGCGGATGAGCGCGACCGTCAGGTAGACGACGTCGACGCCTTCGCAAGCCGCCTTGATCGACGAGTAGTCAGTCACGTTGCCGACAGCGAACGTCGCGCCCTCCACCCCGCGGCGCGGTGCGACGACGTCGAGGCCCTTGACCTTCTTCTCGCCGCGCTCAACCAGGGCCTCCATGATTATGAGTCCCACGCTGCCCGTGCCGATGACCAGGTATGACTTGCCTGTGGCGGGCGCCTTCTCCTTCACGGTGGCGTGCAGGCCGGGCCTCGCGCGCCAGTCCACCCCGGGTGGCGGCTGTTTCGCCGGCTGACGCGGTGACGGCTTGAGCAGCCAGTAGCAAACGGCGGCCAGCGGCAGGAGGCGGCCGGCAGCGAGAAGCATCGCGATCGTCTCAGGCTCGAGAGGTGGCATGTCGGGAAGGGTCGGCGGGAGCCGCAGAGGGTCTACCGGGTACCCCGAATTGACCCTATTCTGACTGGGTTGTAACAAAGTTTGAAACACGCGAGGCGCAGCCAGTTGTTGAATCATTGGTTGAAGCATCGAGTCAGTTAAATTGAATCGTTGAAGCTCTTGCTTGATTGATTTCGCAGCTCGCCGTGGAGCGCAACTGGTGGAGCTTCAGCGTCAACCCGACGCCCATGGGCAAGCAGTTCATTGTCCAGCCCCAGTCCCAGTGGGAGAGGGACAGGGAGCGGCAGCAGGCCAAGGAGGGCAGTGCCCCACCGCAGCCGGTCTCGGGCACCGTACCCATACTACTCAAAAGTATAATATACTACCACAAAGCACCACTAGCGATTTCGCGCGGAGGGCGTAGTGAAGCGCTGGGGCGCTCACTGTGTGTTATTCGGGTGGGGATCCATCAGTGGTAACCGGCTTTAGTCACAGATCCAAGCTCAGACGCCACACCAACACCACAAACACGCTCACTTCGCCGCTGCTGTAGATGCCAAATCACCGCGGCCGTCTGTGCCTGCTTCCGAGTATGACTCCGAGTTCGACTTTTCCGACGCTGAAGCGCAGGATAGGACGGCAGGGGTCGTACACGACGCAGTTCAGCAGGCTGTGATGCAATACGGCTATGACGACGAGCTCTTCCAGGCGTGGAGGGACGGCGAGATACGGCGAAAGGACTTGCCGGAGGAGGTGGTGGCTATGGCTTTGGACCTTTGCGAGAGGTGGCGAGCGGAGCAAGAGCGGTGTAGGCGCGTCCACGCGGCGCAGCGGCTCTCCCGCGACCCCGGCCCCTCTCATAGCCGCAGCCGTAGCCGCAGCCCCAACTCTTGCCGCTCTTCCGTGTCGGGTTGTGACGAGGGGTGAGGGGACACGGATTGAAGATCCCTCACACCAAGATCGTGCAGGGCGGGGATACATGTCCCTAAATCCCATCTCGTCTCAGAGTTTGACCGTTTTTATTTATTTATTTATTTGATTGATTTCCTGGCAGCTGGCTGGAAAGGTGGGAGGGGAGTGAGCGCGGCAGGCGGGGCACATCACTGACATGCCTTCGCGACGCCAGCCGGCATTTCGCCAGGTGTGCACTCTGCTATAGCTAGTACTGTGTGTGTGTGTGCTCACACCTAACTGTAGGGGGTGCCGAGCCATGAAAGAAAGAAAGAAAACAGAAACAAGGGAGGGAGGTGGTGAGGCCGACAAGCCGCCACCACACACAGGGATTTTAAGGAGAGGAGTGTGGTGCTAGCCGTCACCCACCCTCGGGCGTTGACCTCTTCCTATCTCTCCTCGCACAGTTTCTCGCCAATTCTCGCAGCGACCTTCATGCCGCCTCACGCACACACACGCTAGAGAGAGAATAAAAATCTCTCTCTCACACGCCTCTTTTGAGCGGCATGGAGGCTGCGCGCTGCTAGCGCGTCGGCGGGGGTGGCGCTGCCATATGCAAGCGCACTTGAGGCCGTCTGACGGTCCTGGTCGCTTCAGCAACGCCACTACACCCCACGAGTGTCGCTCGTCTGGAAAGCGAGGGCCTCGTCTCCAGCCCGGCTGCGGCCGGGCACCTGGCGTCCACCACGGGCGTGCACAGAGGGTGCAGCGGTGGAAGATCCCAACTCATGTCATCTACTCGCAGAACGCACGTGGGCTCAAGACCGACAGCGCTCTCACCGAGGCTATCGACGCTCTCCGACACCGCTCAGGCTTCTCTGCCGGGCTGCAGGAGACGTGGAGAACGGGCCTGGAGGAGATTGAGGAGGACGGCTTCGTCTTCCTCGGCGCTGCACCCGCTGTACAGAACGGACGCGGCTCAAAAGGAGTCGGCATCCTGCTCTCGCCACTGGCTGTCGCTGCGTGGCGAGCAGCTGGAGCCGTTGTGCACAACGACGTAGGCCCGCGGGTTATCGCAGTGCGTATGGAGGTTGAAGATTCGGCTGGCAGGAAGCAGGGACTGTTTCAAGTGGCGTCGTATGCGCCTATCTCGACAGCCCCGGACACCGAAAAGGACGAATATGAGACCGCTCTCGCCTGTGTGCTCTCGCGACGGCAGTCCGGCGACATTGTGATTGTTTGTGCTGACACTAACGCGAGCATCGGACGCGGCTGCCTTGGCGGCCAAAATGTCAACTACGGTGCGGTCGGTTCTCATGGTATCGACTTTCTCAATGACTCTGGGCGCCGCCTGCGCTCGTTTATGGAGCTGCACGACCTTGCTGCACTGTCCTCGTTCTTCAAGAAGCCGTTTTACGGGACGTGGCTGCACCCGTGCAGTAAGCTGCAGAAGCAGCTGGATCACATCATGATCTCTCGATGCGACTTGAAGAGATTCACAGACGCCGGGGCATGCTGTGGACAGTTGATCGACAGCGACCACAGTGCTGTCTTCTGCAAGCTGCGCTTCACAGTGCGGCTTCGACGCAAACTGGAGCCGCGTGCTCAGCTCGCTCGACTCGACACCGCACCGTTGCTGAACCAGGACCAGGCGGTCCAGTTCGCTACGGATGTGGTGACGAGCCTCGGCACATCCGACGCCTCGGCCGTATCGTACTCAACACTGGCCAAGGCGGTGGAAAAGACCGCTGCCGAGACGCTCCCCAAGCGTGAGCGGCCTGCGCCGCTGTGGTTTGCGGCGAAGGAGGGCGTTTTGCGTGCCGCCATCGCGAACCGCAACGCCACCTTCAACGCTCATCAGCGGCAACCGACGGCGGACGCTGCCGCTCGATATCGACAGGCGCGCTCACGCGTGCAGCTCGAAATCAGGCGTGCCAAGTCGGATTGGATCCTCGGCAAATGCACCGCCATCAACGATGGCATCTGCGGCGCCACGGGATCCGCGGCCGCCTGGGCGACCGTAAAGGTGCTCAAGGCTGGCCTCGCGCCGCCGCGCCGTGCACCACCGGCAAAGATGAAAAAGGCCGATGGCTCTCTCGCTGACACGCCAGAGGAGAATGCGAGCGTCTTTGCCGACGCGTTCTCCCAGCTGTATGGTCGAGAGGCGTCCTTCGACCCCTCGGTGCTCGACGACCTGCCACAGAGGCCGGTCGCCGTTGGTCTTGACCACGTACCGTCGGACGACGAGATTCAGCTGGCGACGAGCAAGCTGCACGCTACTGCTCCGGGCCCATCAGGCCTGCATGCACGGCTGTGGCAGGCTCTCGTGTCGACGAGCGACGGATTTGGCTTCGTGAGACATCTCGTGCAACACTTCTGGGAGACCGAAGAGTTGCCCGAGGGGTGGGAGACGGGGCTGCTCAGTATCCTGCCCAAGAAGGGTGACCTGAGCCTCCCTGGAAACTACCGTGGGATCATGATGCTCGAGACGGCGTACAAGATCGCTGGCAACATCATCCTCGTTCGGCTCAAACCGATCAAGGAGGGTGGAACGCTGAATCACGAGAACCAAAACGGCTTCCGGCCGAACCGTGGCTGCTTCGACGCGATATTCTCGATCAAAACGCTGATCAAGAAGCGTCGAGAGCATGGTCTCGAGACCTGGCTGTTGCTAATCGACCTGGTCAAGGCGTTTGACCGTGTACCGCGCGAGCTGCTTTGGCGCGTGATGCTGAAGCAGGGCGTGCCTCCCAAGATCGTCTCGCTGCTGAAGGCGCTGCATGCGACGGTCAAGGTCCAGTTCGAGGTGGGTGGCGTGAAGAAGGTGATCGACTCGATTATCGGCGTCAAGCAGGGCGACCTACTCGGCCCCGAGTTGTTCATCTTTTTCATGGCGGCGGTCATGGAGACGTGGCGCCTCCACCACGACTTCGAGCTGTGCGTCGTCCGCTCGAAGAACGATTTTGTCCTCACCGGTCGGCGCCCGTCTACCGTCGGCGATGTTGAGTTCTCCCTCAGAGACTCCATGTACGCCGACGACGCGGGCCTCGCCTTCTGCTCTCGGCGCGGCGTCGAGGTCGAGACGCCCAAGGTGGTCGCGCACTTCGCTCGCTGGGGCATGGAGATCCACGTCGGCAAGGACGGCTCCAACGGCGAGCCTCGCAAGGACTCGAAGTCGGAGGTGCTCTTCTGCGCGGCGGCGCCGACCTCGTACAACAACCCCGCCACCTACGACGGCGCCGACCTGTCCGACATCAAGCTGCCCGGCGGCTGCTTCATGCCGGTCGTGGACCGCTTCAAATATCTTGGGAGCTACCTCAACCGCGACTGCAGCGACGGGCTCGACGTCGACAGCCGGATCGAGTCGGCAGGCCGAGCTTTTGGCGCTCTTCGGAAGTGCCTTTTCAGCTCGAGGGACGTCTCGTTTGCCGCCAAGCGCGCGGTCTACACCTCGCTCATCCTCTCCATCCTGCTCTACGGGTGCGAGTGCTGGGCGCTCACCGAGCGCCTCCTCCACCGTCTCCGCGTCTTCCACGCACAGTGCGTGCGTGCGATGTGTCGTGTCACTCGCAAGCACGTGTGGGAGCACCACATCACGACTGGCGAACTCTGCGCCAGGCTAGGTCTCGACTTCATCGACTACTACATCGACCGACGCCGGCTGGGCTGGCTCGGGCATGTCAGCAGGATGGATTTCAATCGCCTACCTCGTCGCATGCTCTCATCGTGGGTGCCTCACGGCCGGCCGATCGGGTGCCCCAACATGACGTTTGGGCGCAGCATCCGCACCGCGCTCGACAAGTTCCACATCGACCGCTCGAGGTGGCCCGAGCTCGCCGCCGATCGCTCGGCCTGGCGCCAGGCGCTGGAGAACAGGCGCCCGCCCGACGCCTTCTTTGCCATGCCAGCGAGGGCTAGGCCGCCCTCCCCGCGCATTGCGCGCACTAAACCAGTGCGCTCATGCTTGGCGAGAACCAATGCAGCGATGGACAGCTCGCTACAGGCGCTCGCGGGGTCGTGAGTGGGGGTCCCCACCGCTGCCCCTCTGACTAAACTTTTGTCTGTGGTGATGCCTTTCCCTGAGAACGCACACAACGCCTCGTGTGTAATGCCCTGTGTTTCCGCGAGTGCGTGTGCCCCGTCGTCCATGCTAGGACGTGTGTAACACTGACTGACTGACACACGCTGCACACGATTGGCTCGGGAGCCGACACGAGGCGCACTGTCACCGGCCGTAGCACCGGGTCCGGACTGCTGGACACACAGCACACAGCTCACAGGACAGCTCACGAGGTGGCGCTGTATAGTGGGGTTCTCAGGGACTGACACGGCAGAAGAAGGTGGAGCTCACCCGAAAAGAAAGAAAGAAAAGAAAGAAAACAGACAACCCAAGGGAGGGATGGGAGGACGGCACGCCGCCACCACACAGGGATTTTAAGGAGAGGAGTGTGATGCGCTAGCCGTCGCCCACCCTAGGGAGTCTGCCTCTTCCTATCTCTTTTCGCAGTCTCTCGCCGATTCTCGCTGCAACCTTCATGCCACCTCGCGGCCGTCCCATTCTCGTCGTTCTCTCCCTTGTCACTTCCTCCGTCGCGTCATTCTCTTCCGCCTCGTCCTGCGCCGCCGCCGCCTGCCGTTCCCTTGTTCTCTCACCCGCGTGAACAAAAACCAAATTACCGATTTTTTTCTTTTGGTCGGCACTTTCCGGGAAGGCGTTATCGCTGGGTCTCCAAGCGATGATCGGAGGCTCTCTCCGGCACGCCGCTCGCCGTCTGCGCGCTCCTGCGCTGGCCGTCGCCGGCTGCGCCGCTGGGACCAGCCTCTACCTCCGTGGCGCCGACGAGGAGTTTCGGCACGTGAGCGAGTCAGAGCTGCCGACCACGTACGACCCTGAGGCGTTTGCTGCCGTGTGGAGCGCGCACCCTCGCTGCTGCCTGGCGCGGCTGCGAGAGATCGTCGCTCGCGTCGCGCCGCTCGCTGCGGTGGTGCTTCGCGACTCGCTGCGCGGCGGAGTTCCGGGCGAGTCCGAGGCGGAGCGGGACGCTCGGTACGCGCTGCGAGCTCGCGAGCTGCGTGGCTGCCTGACCGACCTCGGACCAACCTTCATCAAGGCCGGCCAGGCGCTCTCCATCCGGCCGGACGTGCTGCCGCCTCCGGCCGTCTACGAGCTGCAAAAGCTCTGCGACGCGGTGCGTGCACATCCCCGATGCGACGGCAGCGCTGACCGTGCTCACCACACCCTCTCACGTCCGTGTGCGAACAGGTGCCCTCTTACCCGACGGCGGCGGCGCTCGCTCTCATCGAGGCGGAGCTGGGCGCTCCTGCGTCGAGCCTCTTCGAGCTCGACGCGTCGTCGGAGCCCATCGCAGCGGCCTCGCTCGGGCAGGTATACCGCTGCAGGCTGCGCGAGGGCGGCGCGGAGGTGGCGCTGAAGGTGCAGCGGCCCGACATGATCCGCGCCGTCTCGCTCGACCTCTACCTGCTGCGCCGCTACTGCCTCTTTGTGGAGTGGTTCAAGGTGCGAGTCCTGACCAACTTGCTCGGCGCCGCCGAACGCACGCCGTTTGACGTGGCGCTGCTCGACACATTCGCACGCGCCTCGTACCTCGAGTTAGATTATCGGCACGAGGCGGCCAACTTGGAGCGGTTTCGGACGGAGCTGCTCCCGCGGCTCGGCAGCAGTGTCTACGTGCCACGCAGCTACCCTGCCGTCACCACGCGCAAGGTCGAGATCGAGCCGAGATAGAGCCGAGAGGTGGCCAGTTTCCACACCCTCCGCTGCGCTCTCTCGCCGCTGCGGCCGATTGCGGCGCTCGTCCACTTCGCGAGCGCCACCTGAGTGGCCGCCAGCGAGTCGCGCTTCGAGCCGGCAGGGGGGGGGGGGGGGGGTAATCTGTCATCACTGAGGCTATGGGGGGGAGGGGTTCTGGGTACCCCTGTGATGCCACCCTACCCTACCCCCCTGCCGGCTCGAGCACAGGTGCTCGCCACCGAGTGGATCGAGATACGGGGAGATATGGGGAGATATGGGGAGATATGGGGAGATAGGTGCTCGCCACCGAGTGGATCGAGGGCGAGCAGCTGGCCAGGTCGCCGCCGGAGGTCATCAACCGGCTCATCGCGACGGGCGTGGACTGCTTCATCTCTCAGCTGCTAGATGTCGGATTCTTCCACTCCGATCCGCACCCCGGCGACCCACCCCCTACCCCCACGGTACCCTGCGCCCATCCACGTCGGATTCTTCCACTCCGATCCGCACCCCGGCGACCCACCCCCTACCCCCACGGTACCCTGAGCCCATCCACGTCGGATTCTTCCACTCAGATCCGCACCCCGGCGACCCATCCCCTACCTGGACGGTACCCTGAACCCATCCCGTACCCCGACGGTAGCGGCCAGCTCCCTAGGCAACCTGCTGGTCGACGCGCGCGGGCGGCTGGTGCTCATCGACGCTGGGCCTGATACATCAATGAATCCGTCAAACCAATCAGGCAGATTGATGGATGAATGTAGGTGCTCATCGACTTTGGGCTTTGCGCTGAGATCGCCGCCTTCGACACGCGGCATCGGACTCTTAGTTGCTGCACGCCCAGACCAGCACGGCATCCAGACTAGCACTCGAGAGGGGGCACTGGGCCTTGCACTTGAAGCGCTGTCCGGCTCCAGTCGAGGGCCAGCCAGCGCCCTCGTACCAACAACGCCTCTGGCGTCGGACTTCGGCGATCCCCAACACACGCGAGCGCTAGTGAACTCCCAGGGAACCGATATGCCTTACAGTATTTCTGTACAATATTAAGGTCCCGCTGGCACGAGCAAACAAGCTGAGCTTACCCAGAGAACTCCAGTCTCACCCAAAATTAGCTGCCAATTAGGCACCTGACCTCCGCGATCGTCAACCTGATGCGCGGCGATGTCGAGGGACTCGTCAACGACGCGAGCACGCTGCGTTCCCTCGGCTCTGTGAGTGTGGATTGCGTCCCTTCACCCCCTCCAGCCGCGCACAGGCGATCACGCTGCGCTTCTTACCGCCGGACGTGGACAGGGAGGCGCTGCTGCCGCCGCTGCGGCGCGTGTTTGAGCAGGGGCGCCTCGCCGCGGCCACCCAGGCGAGCGAGAGTCTCGGCGGCGGCGGGCGGCGGCGCGGCGGCGGGCGGGCGGCGGAGTACAGTGCGGTGGCGTCGAAGCGGCGCCAGTTCGCTGCGATCTCGCGCGATCTGAACCAGATCTTCTTCGACTTCCCGTTTGCGGTGCCCGAGTACTTTGCCCTCATCACGCGCGCGCTCATCGTGCTCGAAGGTAGGCCTCGCCTCATTTCGGCGCATCTCGTCGCATCTCGGCGCATCTCGTCGCATTTCGTCGCATCTCGGCGCATCTCGTCGCATCTCGGCGCATCTCGGCGCATCTCGTCGCATCTCGGCGCATCTCGGCGCATCTCGGCGCATCTCGTCGCATCTCGGCGCATCTCGGCGCATCTCGTCGCATCTCGTCGCATCTCGGCGCATCTCGGCGCATCTCGTCGCATCTCGTCGCATCTCGGCGCATCTCGGCGCATCTCGGCGCATCTCGGCGCATCTCGGCGCATCTCGTCGCATCTCGGCGCATCTCGGCGCATCTCGGCGCATCTCGGCAAGTCTCACGGTTCGTCACTTCGGCGCATCTCGGCCCATCTCGTTTCATCTCGGCTCAGCTCATCTCGGCTCAGCTCGGCTCATCTCGGCGCATCTCGGCTCCTCGGCTCAGTTCGGCTACATCTGGGCTAGCTCGGCTCATCTCGGCTACATCTCGGCTCATCTCGGCTCATCTGGCTCCGTGCTCGAAGGCATCGCCCTGACCGGCGACAAGGACTTCGACCTCTTTCAGGCGGCGTACCCCCTCGCGGCGCAGCACGCGGCGCGCCTATTCGGCGCGAAGCAGCTCGCCAGCATGCTCGGCGAGGCGAAGGCTGCCGAGCGCAGCTGGCGCGCCCTGCTGCGGCGCGAGTCTCGGCAACCGCGCGGCCAGCTGCCGTCGGTGGAGGTGTTGTGACGTTAGTGCTGCCCTCTTGTGAGTGTGAGCTTGCTTCTTGTGTGCCCGAAGTGCGATGCAAAAGAGAACGTACGTGGATCGTGGTGAGAGACGACACAGCACACACACGTACACACGTGTCGAGACGCGGTTACTCTAACGAACCAACGGCCCGCTTATCTTTTTATCTACACGTGTACACGTGAAAAAAAAATACAAGCCCCACCCGACTCACAGGCAGGCGTGGGGCGCGTCGCCCTGCTCTAGGTGAAACGTCTTAGGAAACGACACGAGGGTCGGCCCGACGGCGGGCGGAGAAGACGGGCACTGGACCAGAAAGGACTGGGAGAGAGCGTGAGTGGAGGGAGGGACACGCTGATGCCACCGATGAAGGTGACGACGAAAGAGCCGACGACGCTGTAGAGGCTACAGGCGAGGTCGTCGACACGAGCCTCGGCAGAGAGACCGATGGTGCTATCGGAGCCACCGTCCAGTGGAGCGGCGGCAGAGAGGCCGAGGCCGACGGTGCTATCGGCGCCACCGTTGAGTGGAGCGGCGGCAGAGAGGCCGATGGCGTCATCGGCGCCGTAGTGGAGTCGAGCGGCGGCAGCAACGGAGTCGTCAGCGCAGTGGCCAACGAAAGGAGCAACGGCAAGAGCGACGGCACTGTCATCGGCGAGGCCGTCGAGTCGAGCGACGGCGACAGAGCCGTCGGCAACTCGAGCGACGGCGAGAGAGCCGACAGCGGAGCTATCGGCGAAGCAGCCGACAGCGAGGCCGTCGGCGAGGCCGTCGAGTCGAGCGACGGCGACAGAGCCGTCGGCAACTCGAGCGACGGCGAGAGAGCCGACAGCGGAGCTATCGGCGAAGCAGCCAACAGCGAGGCCGTCGGCGAGGCCGTCGAGTCGAGCGATGGCGACAGAGCCATCGGCAACTCGAGCGACGGCGAGAGAGCCGACAGCGGAGCTATCGGCGAAGCAGCCAACAGCGAGGCCGTCGGCGAGGCCGGCCGCCGACCGGCCTGCGCAAGGGAGGCGTGGAGTTCGTGCATCATCCGCCTCCTGTGCAATAGCGCGTCACTGGAACCATGCATGCACGCATCGTGCTCGTGCCTTGGACCCAACGCAGTGTCTTCAGCCCCTCCTGGCTCCTGGCCGCGCAGGAGCCCGTACCTCCGCAGTGTGGGCGTGTGAAAATTAGTTCTGATGTGTCAACGGCTGTACTATCAGTACTATAAAATGGCCAACGGCGAGCTTGCCTGTAGCACGGGCTGCGGGCTGCGCCGTACCGTATGAACCTACGGGCTTGTGGTTAGTTAACATTTACGACTTGCCCGTGCTCAAGCTCAAGCAAGGCCGTTGGCAAGGGGCTTTCAAGTAGCCAAAATACACACATACTCTGCAGTAGTAGTGTACTGTGTACACCAGCGCCAGACGCAAACAACAGCTCCTTTCACGTAGAATTCGCTAGCGGCCGACGGCCGTCAACGACGACCACCCACATTGCAATGAGACCGCAGCCGCCCGTGTCATCATGCTGTCACGGCGGGCTCGTCATGGACATCACGGCAGCTACGGCCACCAACGCATGCATGGACAACTGATGCAGGAGCGACGCGCCCACTTCCTGCAGCCGGTCTCGCTCCGGGTGTCGGAGCAATGCAGTCCGCAACCGGCCTGGCTCTCCGTCTGAGTCTGAGAGACGAAACACAGAGTGTGTTGCTGGGCCACCGGGCACGTCGCAAAGCAAATGCAGCGCCTCGATGCATGCCTCAGTAAGAGCACCCTCTGCCTCGGTGCACACATCGAGTGCGTCGACCAAAGCCTGCGCAGTCTCGGCCTCCACCATCGCGTCGCGAGCGGAAAAGTGGGCCGCCAAGAAGCACAGGCAATGGCAGCAGTGCTCGAGCAGGCTCGTCGACGACAGTTGCTTGTGCATGACGCTGACAATCGCGCCCACGACTCCGGCGCCCACGAGGCGGCGCCGGGAGGCGGTTGTGTCGCTTGATCCTTCATGAATCGAGATGCAGGCTCGCATGATTGTATCGATTCCCTCCTTGGCAATGTGCGGATGATCCGGGTACCTCATGAGCGAAGCCAAGACAGCCTCGATGCAGCCACCATCCTTCGCAGCGAGGGCAGGCTCCTCTACACCGTTGGCAAAAAGGTGGAAGAGGTATCGCACGAGAGTCACGCCGCCCAATTGCATGTTCGCGTCTTCAATGTTCTCACGCAAGGCGCGGGCGACCTCCACCGCGCCACCAGAAGCGACAAACGCCCGTGCAGCATTCGGCGCTGAGAGTCCCGAGCCGCAAAAAAGAACCAGGGTCGTGCACGAGAGCATGGCGATCTGGGGAGTTGATGCATGAGCCCGAAGTGCGCCGAGCACCGCCTCAACGCCACCCGCTGCAACCACCGTCGCGATCCTATTGATGGGGTAAGAGGCGTGCGCTGCTGCGTCGATGTTGAAAACGCTCTGTGGCTCGATTGGCTGGGCGAGATAGCGGTGAAGCAGCGCCAACACCATGCCCACGAACTTTTCCTCGGCGTCGTGATGCTCGCGAAGGACGTTAACGAGAGCAGGAGCGTCGTATCTCGCCAACGTCTGCACAGACGGCAGCCCCGGTGCAAATGCCATACGGATGCGGTCGGGCGCGTCGGCAATCACGTGAAAGGGCCTGCGACGCTGCTCCATCTGCACGCAGTACGCAGCACACCGCCCCCGTTCGAGTAGCATGAGCCCAAGTGCTGTGTACACGGGCCGCTCTGATGCCTCTGCACACCGAACGGCCGTGATCTGCCCTCGCTTCCATCCGGTCACTGTAGTCGAGTTGACACCCGACACACACTCGATCCAGTCCCCCACCGAAAACCGCAGCGGCGGCGAAGACTCATCGCCTATCTTGAGTGGTGCGTAGCCGCCACCCTGCATCCACGAGCGCTCGTCCAGCATGACTGGGCAGCCAATCACCGTGCTGCGGTCATAGACGCGCTTCATCCGCTTGACCCGTCCCGTCTTCACGCCCTCACGCGAGGCGCGCCACTCCTGGCTCAAAAGTCGGACGACACAGAGCGGCTTCAGCTTCGCTGCGACTTCTGCCAGAGGGCGGGCGAGCGTCGCTTCGGTCATGTGCACGCCATCCGATAGGGTAAGCCGAGTGCCAACCTCGCACGACACAAAGCTGAGGAGCTGGACGTTTGGCTGACCTCCGCAGTGGTAGAACATGGCCCGCACCGAGCCGCTCGAGAGCTCCCCATCGTCCCGCCGCCGGGCCATGGCTTTGACGAACGACTCCATAATGTATGTCAAGAGCGAAGGTATGGGCGACCGCGGCGGCGATCGCGGCGGCTCTATGACCGACGGCACCCTCGGCGCGCGTCCGCGAGAGATGCCTGACTCCCGAGATACGTATACTGTGCTGCATGAATGCTTGCCCAGGTGTGAACAACACCTCGTGACCACGGCGCCGCAGGCGCCTGTTGATGGGTCCAGGTGATAGCCCTGGATGGGCAATGCATACGCCTAGTTGGGCCTTAGATCGCCCGACCGCGACCCGGTGCTCTGTGGTCGGATTTGTGACGCCGCCGCACCGCGCCGCGGCCGGGGGCCCTCCGGAGGCCGAGGATGGCCGTGGCGTACCGGGACGAGCTCTGGGAGGTGGAGTGTCAGTGAGTATATTGTAGAGACTGGCCATGTGCACAATAACTCTCAGTCTAGCTAAGCGAGGGGAGGCGATGCCGGGGCCGTACAGCAGCTTGATGGTGCTTCGCCGGCGTGCGTCCCGGAGCGGTGCCGGACGGGCGGTCCGGGGGAGAAAACTCAGGACAACGCCGACACCGCTCTGATTCGACTTTTGACTTCAAACAAAGACAGTCGCACGCGCCACAGCACGGCGCGTGCGACTGTCAGGAGCGGATCCGTCAGTTAGTTGTGTTCACGGCGCGATCGTGTCCTGAGTAACCTGGGCAACCATTCAGGGCGACGAGTACACGCGAGGAAGGGGGTGGGCGGTGCTATGCCACCTGCCTCGTGCGCACCTCTATTCTGCTCCGGAGTGACTCGGCACCGCCATCCCTGGGCCCACTGGGCAGTCGTGTGAGGGGCCGCCCCCTTGTCTTGCGAGGGGTGGCTGCTAACCTCGCGTGGGTAGGAGGTGCTCTGCGAACTGCCTCGCGCGAGAGGCACGAGACGTTCGGCGGCGGCTTCTCGCCCACCGCCGTTCTCAAGCTGCGCCGCCTCGCGCGCAAAGCCGCGCGCGGCAGCGTCGACCGCACGGCCTACTCGCCCAAGTACTCGCTCTCTTTTATGTCCCACCATGCAGAGCGCATCTCTCTCTCTGTTGTGCGAGGCGTGAACCGCGCCATTCGCTCTCACCTGGCAACCCTGTCTGCACGTCTCGCGCGCGCGTGAACAGGGCTCCAGGCCCCAAATGACGTGTGAGTGTTAGAGTTGTTTGGTATTGCTAAAAATCTCTCTCTCTCGCGAGGGGCGTGTGGCATCTCTCGCGAGTCTTGGAATAGTCTTCCCTGACCCCGCCCCCGCCGGCCGCCTGCCCTGCCCGCCCGGCCGACAAGATCTCTTCACCTTCTCATTGGTGGAGTATAGGTACGAGAGGGGTGCGGCATGTCTCGCCAGGGGCGCCTACTAACCTCGCTTGCGAGGGGCGTGTGGCATGTCTGAACGGACTCGTGAGGGGCGCCTGCCTACCTCGCTTCGTCGAAGCGGCGCTTTGTACCCACACCCACCCCGCCGCATTCGTCGCCGGCGCGCGACACGTTCCTGTCGGCCGGACTGTCCTCGCCGAGTGCGTGCCGCTGAGGCGGGACGCACTCAGGGACAGTGCCGGCGGGACGCGGCTCGAGAGGCGGCTCCCGCGGAGGCACGGCTGGCACCCGTGGCGCGGGGCTCGTCTTCGGAAAGACCAGGATCGCTCTACTGGCAAACTTCTGGCTGACACGCGCGCCCGGTCGAGCCTTCGGCGGGCGCGCTGCGGTCGCACGACTACCCAAGTCATATGCCACGGCGTGCGATCTAGATTCAGCACACGCGCCTCTGCTCGCAACCACTCATCCAATGAACTGTCGTCACCCATGAGTGCGAGATAGGGCTGGCGGCTGGCCGCTAGCCTGTGAGGAGGGCGTCCATAGACACCTCACAAGACCCCACACACGGTCTCGTCCGTGCCTTGCGGCCGGCGACGAGATTGCTAGAGGCGGAGCGAGCCTGCTCTAGTCTCACACGTTCGCCCCTGTCGCCTGTCTGTGTTGTTGTGCTGTTGTTTGTCTCTTGGCACCTTGGAGTGCTGGGGGGGGCGACAGGGGGGACGTGGCCAGAGTGATGTGTCCGCCCACTCAGGGTGTGTGGCAGCCAGCTGGCTGTGTGTCTCGTGAGCTTGTTTGTGTCTGTGTGTCGCTCGTGCGTGTCGTCATCATCTGTCTTGCGTCCACCCATACCGCGTTGGTGTCCAGTCCGAGCCTGACTGTTCTTCACCTTCCTACAGACATACAACAACAACAACAACATGTACACTCGAGATATGCCCGAGATACACCCGAGATAGACCCGAGATAGACCCGAGATATGCCCGAGGTACACTCGAGATAGACCCGACGGCTACTCTGATATATCCAGAGGCCGACCGTCTCCTACCCGACGGTGGCACTCTTCCAAGGTAAGGTAAGGTAAACGTCTCCACACACACAAAGTGGTGGGGCAAGGGGGGGCGACCCTCGCATCTCCACGCCCGGGACACGGGCAGGAGCCCCACGGCATTCAAAGTGCAAGCACCGGCCCGGTGCCGTGGGTGAGCAACCTGCACCCCACTCCTACTCCTATAACACAACCCCCACAGCGTGGTCGTCTACGTGTTCAGAAACACCAAGCAGCGAGGCGAGGGTGAAGGGGTAAGGGGCTGTGTGGGGCTATCTGTGACCATCTAGCCTGGGGGGTAGCAGGAGGGGGGGGCAGGAGAGGGTAAGATATGGGTGAGGCCAGCTACAAGTCGGACGCCCTCCCGTCGTCGGAATAATCCTCGGAGCGGTCAGCGTCCTCGTCGTCGTCCTCGGTCTGCCACGTCTCGCTCACGCTGAGAAAAATTCTGAAATGCCGTGCAGCAGAGTCACCGACGATGAGTCGGTCCGCGTGCCTCCTAGTGCGGTCCCGTACCGTTCTCACACATGAACTCACTTTGGCCTCACTGAAGGTGATGGGTGAAGAGCCGCGCGATCCGCGATGCCCCAATCCTGAATCCTCAGATTTTAGATTTAGGACGCTGTCCACCCCCTACTCGCTACTCCTGACAGCAGACTACTCCTCACAGCACACTCGCTGCTGGCACGACAAGTGTTGTGCTCCCACCCCACCCGCTCGTCGCGGTGTGTAAACCGCAACGCGACCGAGGCGCTCGCGGCGCCGGCGGCTCTCAGTTTAGACGCCGATTCCGGCGGCACGGTCGGGCCCGAGCGGCGGGGTGGCGGGGGCAGGGCGGTCGTAGACGCATCGGAAACCAACAGTGCCGGCGCGCTCGTACGACTCGCCAAAAAGGAAGTACTTGTTGTGCGTGGTGCACGGAGGGCCGCTGCCTGGCCCGCCGCGGTTCGGAAAGTACCAGTGCGACCTATTCACGAGGGGAGCCGTGAAGAGACGCCGTTCACACTCTTGGGGGGGAAGGAGGTTTGCGACCCGTCCGGCCGGTAGTTTGAGCCGCCGCGCAGCAGCACCGAGCGCGTGTGCTCGTCGGCGATCTCGTCGGTGTACTGCCTACGCGGGGGAATAGACGCCAACCTCAGGGGCGGGAAGGCGGCATTGAGCAGTGTATTCGGACGCACCGCGTGAACACGAGGGAGGCGAAGCAGTGAGTACAGCTGAATACGGCTGAATGCGCGTCCTCTCGAGCGCTGGCTGGGAGACGAGAATACGTGCTC